CTCTGTTGGTTTTTTCCTTCTACCCTCTGACATCATTACCAGGATATTCCCCAGTGATTGATGAATGCTTATAACTCTGTCTACTGTGGTTTGGACTCATGAACTGTAGAATTATATTTAGGAGAAAATCTGTTTTGTTTTGACATTTTTAAACAATAGATTTTTTCATAGAACTCTGTCGTAGATTGTCAAGTTGATTTGAACACTTGTGCATGCCTTTCATTACTTTATCTCTCGATACGCTGATCTTCTGGACTTGTAACTGTACCTTTTTCCACTTGCTGATGTTTGCAAGCTATATTATATGCTGCATTTGTGACAAGATTCTCGATGCTATTCATACAGAAGTTAAGATGGTTATAAGTTACAAGTTTTATTGCCAAAGAAGAAAAATGTTTTGTAGCTGAAGAAGTTTAAGCCAGAAATTATTCTTCTACTTTTATTATCAATATTGAATATGATTTGTTGCAGGCTTCACATGGTTTGTTTGTTTGTTTGTTCTGGATTTTTTTTACTTGTTTGAAAATAGTTAAACAGTTAAGGTTCCTCAAGCAACTCTTTTTTTCAGCCTTTTATCCACATAATTTAACATTGGTTGAAGGCCAGACTTTCAAATCACAATTTGCACATATATTAGGGTGCCAAATAAATATTAATAAATCTATATTAGTATTATGTGCACTGTAGACATGTTTTGAATTCTTGAACTCATTCATTTTGGGAAAAAAAAAATCTTTTTTTCTACTGTAGCATCAGTAATTGCAAGGATCTGCGTATTTCAGTATAATACTAAGGAAAAAAGGGTGCTTATGTTTTGGGGTTTATGCTGTCTTGTAGGTGTTGAGAAAGTTAGTTTCTGATTCATTAACAAGTTAATTGCTACTGATTTATTCTCTATAACCCCTATACGGGGAGAAGTACATTGTCTGATGGTCATATGCAAAATTGTTGTTCAATTTACATAGGCTAGAACTATTTATGAGATCACGATATACATATTTCCTATAAAATAGCCTCTTGGAAAAAATACATTCTGTTTTTAACATTCATACAAGTTAAATATTTCCAAATCTGATACATAGTCTCCAGCACTACTTCTCGGATTGATATTTCATATGTAATCCTTTTTGTGCATCTTAAAAGTGCTTCACAGGAAAATTAATACTACCCTATCCTGTAGATAGGCTTTATGTATTAGGTGGCGTTTTTATAAAATGTTTGTTAGTTCTCAAGCTTTTTAACTGATAGAAACTTACCCGAGTCTCAGAGAGCATGATTCTTCTGTACTAGAGCTCAGGGGTTTTTGGGAACAACCTCTGAAGTTCTTTCCTAGATGGATTGAGCATACTTGCTGCTCTTTGTCTGTACGGATGCTTTATCTCTGAAAACAGTTATACCAAATACTTTTGCAAAGGGATAAGTTGTCTTTATTTCTTTGATGTTTCCCATATGTTTTTGCTGTTGTCTGTTTCATATTTATTTTCATTTGACTTTTTTGCCTTGTATCCCTTGTTCACCTGAGAAGTCACTGTTTCAGTATTTAATATTAGTGAGAGAGCTAACAATGACTTTTATAGGTTAAACCTTGTGTAAGTCTACTATTTGTGATTTCAGCCCTTCTTTTTTCCTCAGGGACAGAGGATCTTCACACAAGATAATAGAATGAAAATTAATCAAATCAGTCAGTCTGTTTTTAAACCAGTCTTATTCTGCTGTTAATCTTTTTTAGACTTTGGAGCCACAGTCTAATTTGGTTTAGTCTGTATAAAGTTTAGAAGTAATTGATTGAAAAAATTGTTAGTTGCATTGATAATTGCAGAACATTAGCTTCAGTGTATTTTATATGTGTACATGCAGATTTTCAGATGATAATTAGGACTGTGCAATATTCTATTTTATAAATATTTTTCTATTTCTGATAGGTTTCAGGAGGAGAAGATGAAATTCAACAGCTGCAAAAGGCTTTGCTAGATTATCTGGATGAGAACACAGAAACTGATGCATCATTAGTGGTAAATTTAAGCTTTCTGATATCAAGTGTATATATAAAAAATTTCAGTAACATGTACTGAATAAAATTATTTTCGGTCATGCATATTAGTGCTTCAAGTAAATTGTCACCCTAACATATACTGTTGATTGTGTTTTCCAAAATATGGTTGATGCATTAGAGTCACTTAATCTCATTATACATGAGATTATAAAATGTTAATTTCACTTTTCTATATCTGTTGGTTTTGTTTTCTGTGTATCCTGCTGTATTTCTCCAGTTTTCTCGGAAGTTTTATATAGCACAGTGGTTCCGTGATACAACTATGGAGACAGAGAAAGCAATTAAATCTCAGAAGGATGACGATTCATCTGAAGGAACTCATCATGCAAAAGATATTGAGACCACAGGACAAATCATGCATAGAGCGGAAAGTCGCAAAACGTTTCTTCGCAGCATCATTAAAACTGCTCCATCTCAGTTCAGTACATTAAAGTACGTTTCAGCACCACTGATTTCTTTATTAACTATGCATTTGACATTTTTAGTCATTTTTGATAAACATGTCCTAATTAAAACATTGGATTTGTTGCAGGCTGAATTCTGATACTGTGGACTATGAAGATGCATGTTTGATTGTTCGCTACTTGGCCTCTATGAGGCCATTTGCCCAGAGCTTCGATATTTATTTGACACAGGTGTGTGCTGGAAGTCTTAGTACAGTGCAACACAGTTGATTTCTGATTCCAAACACTTTTGTGGTAGTGTGCAATATCTGTTCATTGTTGAGCACAGGTATTTAACAGGCCATGATAACACCATGTGCTTTCATATTCTGTATTGATGACATAAGTGTTTATATTTCTTTTTCTTGTATGCATTTCATATGTCATATTGTACATACATTATTTTATTTGTCCATGTATGTATATGGCGAAATCATTATCTTAGATGTACACAGTAAAAGGATAATTACAAAATGTTGAAAGTTTTTTTTTTCAGTTTTACAGATGCATGCTCATTTGGTAATATTCACTCATTAAATTGTTCTTAATTTGATTTGAAAATAGAAGCCAACTTGGTCAGTTGCTTGCGGTGCATGTTACAGTCACTGGAAGCTGTTGTTTGATCAGTGTGGTTTCTTTCCCATTTCTGGGAGAAGAGCGCTAATATGTTGTCATGGTGACATGTTTGAACTACAGTACTGGTTTAGTTGTTTAGTTTAGTTTAGGTTGTGTTAAGTTATATTGATCTGCATACAGAGCCATTCTTAAAATTATAGTGCCCAAATCCAGCTCTCCTGTTGAAAGAACCATGGTGAAAGCCACAAATGAGTGGCAAAAGTAGAGTTTAAAATGAAGGGACTTAGAGCGAACATATGGACCCTGTGTAAATCCTGTTTGGACCAGTCTTAGAGATGTAGCAAATCCTAGTAAATATCCATGCTCAGTTATCAGTGCCATGGAACATCACCTGTATGCACCTTTTTACTGTCTGAAAAGATATATACTATTTTTAGTAGACAGATATTCTTATTTTAGTTAAATCATTTGTATGTTATTCTGCTGCATTTTTGCCTGTTAAACATTGTTTTCTACCTTCCCAAAGCAACCAAATCTTTGTTTTTGTTCTCTTATTAGATTCTGCGTGTACTTGGTGAAAATGCAATTGCTGTTCGAACAAAAGCCATGAAGTGTTTATCTGAGGTTGTTGCTGTAGACCCCAGTATTCTAGCCAGGGTAAAAAAAATGAAATATCCATCATGCACGTGCGTTCTTCTGTCACACTTGAAAGAAATCTTTATTTCTTATTTTGGATCTGTGTTTTATTTGTTCTATTTAGCTGGATATGCAACGAGGTGTTCATGGACGGTTAATGGATAACTCCACTAGTGTACGAGAAGCAGCTGTGGAACTGCTTGGCCGATTTGTGCTCTGTCGTCCTCAGCTTGCTGAGCAGTATTATGACATGCTGATCGAAAGAATATTGGTACAGTGACTTGTGGTATTTATGATAAAATAAGTGTCATTGGAAAATTTGTTTTCAACTGAGTTTATATGTTTAATAATATGGAATGATGATCCCAAGAGTAAATTATAACTTATTATTTTAATGGGGAGCATCGTGCTTTTAAAACCAACCTTGTAAAATGCATCACTTGTTTCCAGTGAGGTTTTGTTACATCAAAAGATAAACATACATAGAAAGTTGTATCGCATTAGAACCAGGATTATATTCCTTTTGATTCCTTTATTAAGGCACAATTTAGGTGAAATGAGGAATTTTGCCATATCTCTGAATTCTGAGATATGGGTCATTGAGGGCAGTCCAGTAGTGTGGGTGATGAAGAAAGATCTACAACACAGTAGTCTAAAGTTGCCATTTGTAATTCAAAAGAAAAATGATAAAACTATTTTGTTTTTCTACGCTATGTTTTAGTGTTTTAAAATGCTTCTTATTAGAGTTTTTGTATAAAAACCTTTTTTTTTCTTCTGGATGTTCAGATAAAATACAATGTTAATTTAACTGTAAGATAACACTAGCTTTTATCATCCATGTCAGGTTTTTAGTCAAATACTACTCATTTGCAATAGTTACATGATAAAACATGTTTGCGAAGGGTTTTGGAGATGTGCATATGAGCATGCATTAAGATGCTCATCCTGACATTCAGATTAAACAGGTTTTGAATAAGGTAATATGAAATGAAGCTCCTCTTCCTTCTCCTTAGACGAAGCCTAGGAAAATGGAAAAGATTTGATGCACGTATCTTATCCATAAGCTTTATTCAAAGGCTTTTGAAGTATTACATTCCAGATCTACAAAGGGTTTTGTGTGTTCCAACAAAGTAGCTAAAGCATCATCACATATAGCTTGTAAACTCTTGAATTAAGAAGGGGAATTATATATTTGCAACACCATGAGCTCTTAAATGGGAGGGTATAAATGGAGGAAGCGTTTCAGTGTTCTGGGAACTCAGCCAGAACCTTTAGAATTGTTGCAAATAAAGTGGTACAAGTTATGCTGACCTTTTGTATAAATGCACTCCAGAATATTTTAGCTGCCTTTTCTAAATACATTTTGCAGGTCAGATTGGGGGTGATCTTCAAATACTAATTCATATAATATATAAATTAATTAATATGTCTGAATTTTTTTCAAATGCTTTTCTCCTCACAGGATACTGGTATCAGTGTCAGAAAGAGAGTCATAAAGATACTTAGGGATATCTGCATTGAACAACCAACATTTCCCAAAATTACAGAGATGTGTGTGAAAATGATTCGGAGAGTCAATGACGAAGAAGGCATTAAGGTAGAATGAAACATATCCTTCAGGATTTTAATTATCATAATGTGTTTCTATATTTTGACCAAAAAAACCCAAAAAGTATTTCATTGCTCCTTTGTAATTTTTATGATTTTTATTCACTTTTAATTTTTGAGAGCAAATATCATCTGCAATGTATTTTTTTATGTTTCCATGGATGAGGAACGCTTCTTACAACCATATGCTTTATAAGTAATTCAGGAATAATTAGTTCACTTTCATTCTATTCCATCTTTTCCTCCATCCAAAAACATTGGAAGGGAACCAAATTCATATGTTTGTGTAGGGAGACTTGGCTTCTCTCTTTTCCCCACCTTGTCACAGCTGTTCTGAAAATGCCAAAGTAATCTACAATTGCTGCTGATTCTACTGTAGAAATTGTAATCTTGTGTTTGGTTTTTAGCTTCTCAGGGTACTATGTTTTCCTGAGGAATGCAAATTAGTATAGGAAAGTGGTAACTCCGTTTTCTGTAGCATCAGTTCCCAGTGATCATTTTAGTGAAGCTTACTTAGAGGCCAATATAACTGCTGTAATAGTAGATCTGGGTCTGTCTCATATAACATTCTCTACAACAGTCTCACTTAGGTTGAATAATTCCTTACGAAATGGCATGTATTGTCAACAAATCTATTGTATGAATGTATTAGAAATAATTCCTATGTGCCAAGGTAAGCTTATTTATTTATGCTATTTTTTTTTCTTCAGAAATTAGTAAATGAGACATTCCAGAAGCTCTGGTTTACTCCAACTCCACACCATGACAAAGAAGCAATGACCAGGAAAATACTAAACATCACTGATGTGGTATGTTAAACAAATTTGAATTAAGTTACATGCAAAATTTTATTATGTTTTTAGTATCTTTGAAATATTGTCTGTAGTCTCTTAAAATATAAAACATATGCAAGCAATTTAATTATCAGATTTTTTTTTTATATGTCTCCTGACAATGAATATATGCTAGAATTATTCATCTGATGGAACAGGCTGTCGGAAACTTTAAATGCTCACTAATCTGCTAGCAGTGATAACTGAGACCACATTATATTCAGGTTGTGTAAAATACTTGTTCAGTTAAAACTCAACATATAACTTCTGTTATATTTAACTTTTTACAGGATATAGTTAAGTCTAACTAAGAAGCTGTCTCTTAAAAGAAAAAATTCCTCAATTGATAACATTTATTTTGAAAGGTTAATAAGCTGTTTTAACAAATACAGGGTCATGTTCTCACTCAGGGTAAACTGGTATCTACATAATTTTATCTACTTTTTAGGAGCAGCAAATTAAATAACATGTCTCAAAAAAAATCTGTTTCAAATAAAATGCTTATACATTTGTAGTGAAAACGTATTGTGTAAAACCACTGTGCTGAGAAGGTATTTTAATATCAATTATACCAAGATGTAAATATCAAATGCAAGTACTCGCTTCACTACTTAAAATTATGGGTATAAATCCATCCTGCTTTTCAATATTTTTACTAAATGGTAATGTAGTGTATGCATTTTTCCAGACTGAGACTCAGTTGATCTGACTTCAGCTTAATTCTCAGTTCTGCCAATTCTGTTTTGAAGCACATGTGAGCTGTTCCTGACATATCACAGAATCACAGAATTTTCAGAGGTGGAAGGGACCTCTAGAGATCCTCTAGTCCAACTCCCCTGCTAAAGCAGGATTGCCCAGAGCACATTACTCAGGACTGCATCCAGGCGGGTTTTGAAAATCTCCAGAGAAGGGGACTCCACAACCTCCCTGGGCAGCCTGTGCCAGTGCTCTGTCACCCTAACCGTAAAGAAGTTTTTCCATGTGTTGGAACGGAACTTCCTATGTTCCAACTTGTGCCCATTGCCCCTCGTCCTGTCACTGGGAACCACCGAGAAGAGTGTGGCTCCATCCTCCTTCAACCCACCCTTTAGATATTTGTAAGTGTCCCCTCAGCCTTCTCTTCTCCAGGCTAAAGAGTCCCAGCTCTCTCAGCCTTTCCTCATAAGGGAGATGCTCCAATCCCTCAATCATCTTCGTTGCCCTTCGCTGGCCTCGCTCCAGCAGTTCCCTGTCCCTCTTGAACTGGGGAGCCCAAAACTGGACACAGTATTCCAGTTGTGGCCTCACCAGTGCCGAGTAGAGGGGGAGAATGACCTCCCTCGACCTACTGGTCACACTCTTCCCTATGCAGCCCAGGATTCCATTGGCCTTTTTGGCAGCAAGGGCACATTGCTGGCTCATTGACAATTTACTATCTACCAGGACCCCCAAATCCTTCTCCTCAGAACTACTTCCCAGCAGGTCCACCCCTAACCTATACTGCTGCCTAGCATTTTTCCTCCCCAGGTGCAGGACCCTGCACTTGCT